GGATTTCTTTTTGGAAGACTACGATTTCAGTGTCAAAAGCGGTTGATATGCAAGAACCACAATAACAAAAGCAATATTTCAGACATATTCGGGCTTGTTCTGTGTCGTTATTAACCCCTACAAACGCTTACCAATCTACACGGATTCAGTCGCACAAATGTTCATGGGCAAACGACGTACCGAAATGCCTCCTCATCTGTTCGCCGTTTCGGATGAAGCCTACCGTAATATGTTGCAATATCACGAAAATCAATCCATGCTGATCACTGGTGAATCTGGTGCTGGCAAGACAGAGAACACCAAAAAGGTTAATGCATCTCAACGCATTGTTGATCTGTTTAAAACAAGTTATAATTAATGTGCTGACAAAGCGATTGCTCCTAGCAAAAACGCCGAGGATAGTGCTGACATTATCAAATCCTAAAGTGCTCCCTAGATGATCCCGGAATAGAAATGAGACAAAATGAAGCAGCTAAGCGTTTGCATGATCTTACAAAAGAACAAACTGACGTGATAATACCAAGATTAACGATGATGACAAAGCAATGCTAAGTTTGCATGTTCAGGTTATCGCGTACTTCGCAGTGGTCGGTGCTTCACAATCGAAGGCTCAAGGTGAGAAGAAGGTCACTCTTGAGGATCAGATCGTGCAGACGAATCCTGTGCTTGAGGCTTTCGGTAATGCGAAAACCGTACGAAACAACAACTCATCTCGATTCGGAAAATTCATTCGAATTCATTTTTCAAAGGCTGGCAAAGTGGCTTCTTGTGATATTGAACATTGTGAGTGAACTGACTCTAATTGTCGACAGAATTCATTCCTAACACAGAGAATTTGATGGTTATCTTCTCGAAAACCTGAATAGTTCTAAAACAATATTAAGCATGCAGATGTTGTCAAATTTCACAGAACATCACTGATTGCTTGATTTCTTCGTGTATTTGACCTTTATTGGAGAAATCGCTTTCGGAGATCAATAACGGGACAAACCAGACAACAACGATAAGAATCCTCACTTATGTTTACCCCTAAATTGATTGTTCTGATAAATCTAGCAGGATGATGGTTCTATTAAAATGATGAGACTGAGCGATTGAAAAGACATCCAAAAATTTTTCTTTGGTGTGAATCATGAGCCGATTTTCAGATTTGCTTGAAAAATCGCGTGTGATTCGACAAGCTCCCGGTGAACGATGCTACCATATCTTCTATCAACTTTACTCGGAGTTTATTCCAACACTGAAGAAAGATCTGCAATTGGACTTACCTTTGAAGGACTATTGGTTTGTCGCTCAAGCCGAGTTGACAATTGATGGTGTTAATGACAAGGAGGAACATCAGCTCACCGATGAAGCTTTCGACATTTTGAATTTCTCAGCTGACGAGAAACTGAACTGTTACAGACTGGTCTCAGCAATAATGCATATGGGCAATATGAAATTCAAGCAACGTCCACGTGAGGAACAAGCCGAACCAGATGGAACGGCCGAGGCTGACAAAGCATCCAGCATGTTTGGCGTTGATCCGGAAGAATTCATGAAGGCAATGATAAAACCGCGTGTTAAAGTCGGAACGGAATGGGTGAATAAGGGTCAAAATGTAGAACAAGTTACCTGGTCAGTCGGAGCTATGGCCAAGGGCATCTACGCGAGATTGTTCAACTGGTTGGTTAAGAAGTGTAATTTGACACTCGATCAAAAAGGTATTTCGAGAGATTACTTCATCGGTGTACTGGATATCGCCGGCTTCGAAATTTTCGACGTGAGTTCATTTTCATTGATTTTAATGAGAAAACAAAAGCATTGCGAGGCATTACATACAAAAATCTTTATCATAAATACATCAAACGATTCAAATCTCTCAATTCTGATCGAATCAGTACACCAGATAAGAGCCAGTAAACGTTCATCGTGATTTACAGCTACTGAAACCTTTCTCAAAACCATAGTTTGCAGTCAGTTTTAGAATTTATTTAGGTGAAATATCGAATGGTTTATTCAATCGTTCGGTTGAATTTATAACAGAGTAGGGTTGAAATTTGTCGAAAATTTCAGTTCAACTCATTCGAGCAGCTCTGGATCAATTTCGTAAACGAGAAGCTGCAGCAGTTCTTCAACCATCACATGTTTGTACTGGAACAGGAAGAGTACGAACGTGAGGGTATTCAGTGGACATTCATTGATTTCGGTCTCGACTTGCAAGCTTGCATTGAACTGATCGAGAAGCCTATGGGTATTATATCGATGTTGGACGAAGAGTGTATCGTGCCAAAGGCCACCGATTTGACACTTGCACAGAAGTTGATCGACAATCATTTGGGTAAACATCCAAACTTCGAGAAACCAAAACCACCAAAGGGCAAACAAGCGGAGGCACACTTCGCAATGAAGCATTACGCTGGTACCGTGCGATACAACGTGACCAACTGGCTGGAGAAGAACAAGGACCCGTTGAACGACACGGTTGTCTCATGCTTGAAGGTATCTAAAGGCAATGTTCTGCTACACGAATGCTGGGCAGACTACACCACTCAAGAGGAGGCTTCAGTTCAAGCTAAAGGTACGTTTGGCGAAACAGTCATTTGATGATTTGAAGATACCAAATACCATTCTAAATTTCGTGAAATTGTTTTTGACAGCATATGCAATGCACACCTATAAAAATTGCTAGCAATAAGTTGCAGAAGAAAATATTAATCAGCTTTTCTTGACATTCCAAATGAAGTCATCTCAGTCATCTAGATGGAATATAAGGCATTAATCGTTAGTTGTGGATCACTGAAAACAATTGGTTAAAAACTTATCGCTTGATATCTATCTAATCTGACTGTCAAAAATTCAGAAGGCGGCGGTGGTAAGAAGAAGGGTAAATCTGGTTCATTCATGACTGTATCGATGATGTATCGCGAATCATTGAACAATTTGATGAACATGTTGAACAAGACGCATCCACACTTCATCCGTTGCATAATTCCGAACGAAAAGAAGAAATCTGGTCTGTTGGATGCGGCGTTGGTGTTGAATCAGCTGACATGTAACGGTGTACTTGAGGGTATCCGTATTTGCCGTAAAGGCTTCCCGAATAGAACGGTTCATGCCGAGTTTCAGCATCGTTACGCAATGCTCGCCTCTAAGGAAGCGAAGAGTGATCCTGAACCTAAGAAATGTGCTGAGGCCATCTTAAGCAAGCTAGTAAATGAAAGCGCTCTTACCGAGGAGAACTTCCGTGTCGGTAAGACGAAAGTCTTCTTTAAGGCTGGTGTTTTGGCACATCTTGAAGATTTGCGTGATGAGAAGCTTGGGCAGATTCTTGCCGGATTCCAAGCTCAGATTCGTTCGTTTGTGATTATGCTCGACCGCCATCGTCGTGCCAAGCAGCGCGCCGGTTATGTGATCTTACAGAAGAATATCAGGGCTTGGTCAGTGCTGCGTACATGGGACTGGTATTTGTTGTACGGTAAAATCAAGCCAATGTTGAAGTGTGGTAAAGAACAAGAGGAGATCGACAAAATGAACGAACAAATCAAACAGTTGGAAGCGAAGATCGCTGAAGAGGAGAAGTCGCGTAAGGGATTGGAGGAGAACTCAACAAAACTGCTCGAAGAGCGCAACGCTGTCTTCGGAGATTTGGAGGCGGCTAAAGCGAAGCTGTCCGATGCAGAAGACCGATTAGCCAGACTCACCACTCTTAAAGGCGATATTGACAAACAAATCAGTGTAAGTTTACTATTTGAAACGAATTACGAATCTACTCATAGTGTGCGAATTGAAAAATACATTCAGAAGCGATGACAGTTCAATGCTTACGTTTACAAGCCACAATCCTACTTATAATAAGGAGATTACAAGCTGCTGTATTTCGAACTGATCTCTATACGAGACAGATATTGGATCAGTTGATGAGCATATGATTGCTTGACTAATTGCAGGAACTGAATGATCGTCTCGGAGATCAGGAAGATCGCAATGCAGACCTGCAGCGTGCCAAGAAGAAGGTTGAAGCCGAAGCCGAAAACCTGAAAAAGTCGATCGAAGAACTGGAAGGACGTTTACAGAAGGCCGATACCGACAAACAAGCTCGTGATCAACAGATTCGTTCGTTGCAAGATGAAATGCAACTTCAGGACGAGAATATTGCCAAGCTGAACAAAGAAAAGAAACATCAAGAGGAAATAAACCGCAAACTGATGGAAGACTTGCAAGGTGAAGAGGACAAAGGCAGTCATGCAAATAAATTGAAGGCAAAACTTGAGCAGAATTTGGACGATTTGGAAGACAGTTTGGAACGTGAGAAGCGCTCACGAAACGATATCGAAAAGCAGAAACGTAAGGTTGAAGGCGAACTGAAGGTGGCACAAGAGAATATCGACGAGATCAATCGTCAACGTCACGAGATCGAGGCAAATCTGAAGAAACAAGACGCCGAAGCACAAGCAATTGCGAATCGCTTGGAAGAGGAACAAGACCTCGTCAATAAACTCAAAAAGCAATTGAAGGAAACGCAAGGTCGTATTGGTGAAGCAGAAGAGGAACTCGAGAACGAACGTCAGTCTCGAGCAAAAGCCGATCGAGTCAAGTCGGATCTGCAACGAGAGTTGGAAGAGCTTGGTGATAGACTGGACGAACAAGGTGGTGCAACTGCAGCACAAGTTGAACTGAATAAGAAACGTGAATCCGAACTGGCCAAACTTCGCCGTGACTTGGAAGAGGCGAACATGAATCATGAGAATCAACTAGCGGCTATTCGCAAGAAGCATAACGATGCAGTGGCCGAGTTGGGCGATCAAATCGAGCAGGCACAGAAGCAGAAAACCAAAGTTGAGAAGGACAAAGCTCAGGCGCAGCGTGAAGCTGAGGATGTTGCCAATCAAATCGAAACGGAAACTGCAGCACGAATGAATGGCGAGAAGCTGGCGAAACAATACGAAATGCAAATCACCGAGTTGCAGACGAAATGTGACGAGCAAACTCATCAACTGCAAGAATTTGGATCGTTGAAAGGCAGAATGTTGGGTGAGAATGGTGATTTGGGACGTCAAATTGAAGAAGCTGAATCGCAGTTGAACGCACTGACACGTCTGAAGGGTCAGTTAACATCGCAATTGGAAGAAGCACGTCAATCATTAGATGAAGAGGCACGTGAGAGGAATACGTTGGCTGCACAGGCCAAGAACTATCAGCACGAAATCGAACAGATTCGTGAGTCAATGGAAGAGGAAATCGAAGGAAAGAGTGAAGTGTTGAAACAATTGAGTCATGCGAACGCCGAAATTCAACAGTGGCAAACTAGATTTGAGAGTGAGGGCTTACTGAAGGCCGATGAATTGGATGAAGCCAAAAAACGTCAGCTGCAGAAAATCAACGAACTGCAAGAAGCGCTCGATGCGGCCAACTCAAAGATCACTTCGCTAGAAAAGACAAAGTCACGTCTTGTTTCTGACCTTGACGATGCTCAGGTAAGCTTTTCCAATTGCCATTTTTTGAAAGAGAACTTACAGAAATTGCAAAATATTTCGAGTTTGAGAGGATAATTACGAATGAATGAAGTAATAAGAAATATAGGGGCAACAGTGTTACCTCATGAATCATGAGCATACCTCATACGCGTAATGATCGAAGGAATGATCTTTAAGCATCGATTACGATTTGACAATTTGTTGATAATGAGCAAAGATTCATTACGAAGTTAAAAATGATAGGAAAGAGTAAGTGCTGATCACGCGTTGTTCAAGAAATGAATGATGACTGTTTTAAGGTTGACGTAGAACGGGCGAATTCATACGCGAATCAACTGGAGAAGAAACAGAAGGGCTTCGATAAGATTATTGACGAATGGAGAAAGAAAACTGACGATTTGGCAGCTGAATTAGATAACGCTCAACGAGAGAGTCGCAATATCTCAACCGAACTAATGAAGTTGAAGAGTGAGCAAGATGAGGTCTTGGAGACAATTGAGGGGTTGAAGCGCGAGAATAAGGCACTGTCGCAAGAAATCAAGGATTTGACCGATCAACTGAGTGAGGGCGGCAGATCGGTATTCGAAATGCAAAAGATTATTAGAAGATTGGAAGTTGAGAAAGATGAACTGCAGCATGCACTTGATGAGGCTGAAGCTGCATTGGAGGCTGAAGAAAGTAAGGTCCTCCGCGCTCAAGTTGAGGTTTCGCAAATTCGCTCAGAAATCGAGAAACGTATCCAGGAGAAAGAGGAGGAATTCGAGAACACCCGAAAGAATCATCAACGAGCGATCGAGTCAATGCAAGCATCGTTAGAAAATGAAACAAAAGGCAAGACAGATCTGTTGCGTTTGAAGAAAAAATTGGAATCGGACATCAATGAATTGGAAATAGCGTTGGATCACGCGAATCAAGCAAATGCGGATGCACAGAAGAATTTGAGAAAATACCAAGATCAAGTCAGAGAACTGCAACAACAGGTTACCAACGATTGTTTTAGAATATTGCACATAACTATAATCATAGTGCAACAATTTTTCTTATTCCTCTCAAGTTATATTCCANTAATTACATATAATTTGAAGAAATTTCTGCCGTGTCACAAAGCTGATTCAGGTTGAAATTGAACAACGCAATCGTGAAGAGATCCGTGAGCAATATTTGAATATGGAGAAACGTGCGACAGCACTTCAGTCCGAAAAAGAGGAGTTGGTGGTAGCAATGGACCAGGCTGAACGTGCACGTAAGCAAGCCGAGCGTGACTCAAATGACGCTCGATCCCAGTGTAACGATTTGGCAGCACAAGCCGAATCGTTGAATTCTATGAAACGCAAACTCGATACAGAATTACTTCAAATTCAAACGGACTTGGACGAAACGTTGAATGAATACAAGGCATCTGAAGAACGCAGCAAGGGTGCCATGGCCGATGCAGCACGTCTTGCCGAACAGTTGCATCAAGAACAAGAAAGTGCTATGCAAAGTGAACGTATGCGTAAATCCTTGGAGACACAGCTGAAAGAAATGCAGGTGAGGCACGCTGATCCATTCAGCATGAAATGTTATGAATCGATAGCTTGAATCGATTAAATTCGAGCTTAATATTGGATATTGGTGTGAGCCTGAGACAGATTGTTCGAATCATTTTTGCTAATCCTCATGAGCATAATTACTCTGGATGTTAATCTTTCATGAATTCAGAGATGCTTTGCATAGAGATAAGGTACGGTAATGAACTGAGCATATTCCATATCGCTGATGAGAAAGAGATGCATAAGAGAAATTTGCAGGCTCGACTTGATGAAGCAGAAGCGGCAGCACTGAAGGGTGGTAAAAAAGTCATTGCTAAGCTGGAGTCACGTATTCGTGAACTGGAGAGCGAAATGGACGGTGAGCAACGTCGTTATCAAGAAACCAATAAGACACTCAGCAAACACGACCGACGTGTTAGAGAGCTGCAATTCCAGGTGAGTCACCTTATATAGCAGATGATCATTCCCTAAATTAATTGATCACATGCAAATGACGTATGACCGTTGTATGAAAAATAATTTCTGAAAGGTTCACTCGAAACCGAATGGTATGAAAATACAGTTGACGTTATGAAGACTGAGGTAGCAGACGACAATAGACCGCTAACCTAATTATATTTCAACAATTGTGTCGCAAATGAGTTAATTGAAGGTCGGTGAAGACAAGAAGAACGCCGAGCGAACACACGATCTCATCGAAAAACTTCAGAATAAACTAAAAGCACAAAAGAAACAAATCGAAGAAGCTGTAAGTTGCNCACATGTTGCCCACTTTACAGGTTTATGATGCATGAACTGAATATAATATCAAATCACTCAATGCACTCAAAACGTTTCAGTCATTGTTTGTTCAGATGATGATTTAGAAATGATGAAAGCAACGCAAAAGTAGCATTAGTCATCAATTTGTGACGATATGCTCATTCAAGCTCGAAGCATAGCGCCTCTAAGAAGAGGAGATGCGTCATTATGCGACCTATTTAATGCTGTGCTTTGATGCGATAATTTGAAGGCAGATAGCAACCAATAGCGACCAGTCCATATTGTTGTTGTTTTCAGGAGGAACTGGCGAATCTGAATCTGCAGAAATTCCGTCAGGTTCAGCACCAACTTGATGACGCCGAAGAGCGCGCTGACCATGCGGAAAATTCCCTCTCGAAGATACGTGCCAAGAGCCGCAGCGGAACCACCGCTCCACCAGGCGTACAGACATCGCAGTCGGCAGCCGTACTCCGCTCATCGTCACGATCAGGATTTTAAAGATCCACACTGCCTGATCATCCTCTCATGCATCCATCCATAAGTATGATAGCCTCACTCCTCCCCATTCTTCGTCATTATATGAGCAAGATAATAGATAAATATTTCTCTGAAGTAGCGATCGATATTATCTTTTGGGTGTTTGAATAAGGTTGCTCGATTTCTAACCGGCAATCTGGCTGTTATACAATCTCTTCAAGTTGATAAATCCATTTTATTGATAATCTTTACCACAAACAAGAAAAAGCCAGTCATGATACGTTAGAAGTAGCATTGCTATGTCATATAATGCATAGTTCAAAAGAATTGTTTTGCTTATGTGAATCCAATAAACTATCGTTTTCTCACTGTGATCAGTCGCATTCATTGCACAAAAGCACTGACAAGAGCACAGTAATCAAAACATGAGCTCGTAGCATTTCCCAAGAGTTCAAGTCATGCTCTATCAAATAATTGTAAGATACACTTATGATGTTGGTGGAACCGGAGTGTAAAGCTG